CTTTTCAGCTACCTTTAGCATTTTTAGCTAATTTCAATCGTTTTCAGAAAAATTCAAGTTTTTCATGGTAATTTCTACTACTTTCTCCCTAATAAACTTCTTTATGCTAATTTTAGCTTGTTATGCTCCTTTCCGATTTTTTCTGTGAGTTTCAGCTTTTTCTACTACTTTTTAGCTCACTGATGTTAATTTTAGCTTTTTCAGCTAATTTCACATTTTTAGCTCGTCATTTTCATATCTCATTTTCTTTCCACTTCCATCTAGTAGTTTAAACTTCTTTCTGCATTTTCAGCAACCTTTCAGCTATTGTTTGGTAATTTCAGCTGTTTTAGCCAATTTCCTCATTTTTGTGCTCATTTCTGCTTATTTAAACCAAATTCAGCAAATATGTGTCCTTTTGCTTTCTTTTTTCATTCAATCTTTATTTCTACGGGTTAGTCTCATTGAGCCTTAAAGACTCATTTACAAGAGAGACTTGTTTTTGACAAAGAACACAGATGAGCTACAGACAACAACAAACATTCATATGAAAGCGTAGAAAATGAAAAGTAAAAAAGAGGTGATATAAAACAAAATTAAAAAAAACATGTTGCAGAATAAAATGGTGTAAGATATTAAAAACAGGAACATGTCTGCGTTGGGTTTTGCATCGAACTTAACACAAGTTTAAAATCCCTTAGAAGTCGAAGTCTTCTGCTAATTAAGGCTTATTCTTCAATTTCAGCATGTTTTCAGCAAGTTCTTCTGCATTAAGCATTCACACTGCATTTTTTCAGGAAATGCAATTTCTCAAGTTGTAATTATTTTTTAAAATTCCAATTAAAAAGGGAAACTATTTTAAATGTAAATAAAAACAAAATGCAATGATTTTTAAAATCATTCAACCCATATTTTATTCACAGTGGGACGTAGAAAACTGATCAAAAGTTGATCCTAAAAATTGAACCATCCATCCCTGATCTTTAACCCGCTTCTCCTTTTCAGGTCACGGGGGTCACTGGTGCCCATGTCCTGCCATCACTGTGTGAGAGGCAGGGGACACCCTGGACAGGTCTCCAGTCCATCACGGGGACACATAGAGACAAACGAGACAAACCACCATTCACTTTCTCTCTCTCACCTAGAGACAATTTAGAGTTACCAATCAAACCAACATGTAGGGCTGGGCAATATGGACCAAAATTAATATCTCTATACTTTTACAAAAATCGCGATATACGATGTATATCTCAATATTTTTTCTTTCCATAAAGTAATAACAAAAATATATTCGAGTCAGAGTTTTGTCCCAATTGTCACACAGGCACATTTATTAACAAACAGCTGTAACTGTACAAAATAGATGTCTAAAAAAATAAATTATTTAAATATATTCAATTGTTTATTTTTTAGACATCTATTTACATATATTAAATAATAATCCTCTTCAGCTGGGGGCAGCTGTTGTTGAGAGGCTACAGCAGTCGTCCTCCAACGAGAGAGTTGGGGGTTCGATTCCACCAGTAGTCACATGCTGAAGTGTCCCTGGGCAAGACACTGAACCCCTCATTGCCTCTGGTATGTGTCCCATCGGTGTCTGAATGTGATCTAAAGTGCTGATTATTCTTTGTAGAGATCTAGCAGAGAGCTGTTTGAGTGGGTAAATGAGGGCACAAGTTTTGTAGTGAAGAGCTTTGGTGTCTTGATAAGATAGAAAGGCTCTATAAGCACAGCCCATTCAGCTGCGCCGCCTTCACGGTAGTAAGCGTGTGAACTGTGGCAAAGTGAGCCTCCACTTGGAACCTTGAAGCTGCAGGTCCGACAGCCGTCTTGTTAGCTGCTAAGGACCGTATGTTTAGCAATATGATAAACTGCTGATTTATTAATCAGAATCAGTTTATTATCACCATGTCAATGAATGAGGTTCACAAACTAGGAATTTGCTTCGACATAAGGTGCGAATAGTAATAAAGTAAAATAAAGTAAAAATAAAGTAAAAATGAAGTAAAAATGAGAACATTACATAAAACATAAGACCTGTGTACACCCACAAATAAAGTAAAATTAAAACCATAACATAACCATATGTACACCCAAACAATAGTAAACAATAAAAAGCTTAGAGAACAGTACAGATGGAGTATTCAGTTATAATACAGATGTAATGTGACCAAAGCAAAAATTATGAGGTAACATTATGAGTGTTCAGGAGTCCAACAGCAGAGGGGAAGAAACTGTTCTTATGGCGGGAGGTTCTGGTCCGAATGGACCGAAGCCTCCTGCCTGAGGGGAGTGGTTCAAACAGTCCGTGTGCAGGGTGAGCAGGGTCAGCTGTGATCCGACCTGCTCGCCTCACAGTCCTGGAGACGTACAGGTCGTGGAGGGATGGAAGGCTGCAGCCGATCACCTTCTCAGCTGAGCGCACAACGCGCTGCAGTCTGAGTCTGTCCCTGGCAGTGGCCCCGGCGTACCACACCGTGATGGAGGAGCTGAGGATGGACTCCATGATGGCCGTGTAGAACTGCACCATCAGCTTGGCCTTCTTCAGCTGTCACAGGAAGTACAGTCTCTGCTGGGCCTTCTTGATGAGGGAGCTGATGGTCGGCTCCCACTTGAGGTCCTGGGTGATGGTGGTGCCGAGGAACCGATAAGAATTTGCAGTGGTGATGGGGGTATCATTACAGGTGATGGGGGGCAGAGGGGCTGTGGCTTTCCTGAAATCCACAATCATCTCCACTGTCTTCTGGGCATTGAGTTCCAGGTTGTTGCTGCTGCACCAGGTCACCAGCCGGTCCACCTCCCTCCTGTATGCAGACTCATCACCGTCCGAGATGAGCCCGATGAGGGTGGTGTCATCTGCAAACTTAATAAGTTTCACAGAGTCATGGCTGGAGGTGCAGCAGTTGAAGTACAGGGAGAAAAGCAGGGGGGAAAGCACACAGCCCTGTGGAGATCCTGTGCTTATAGTCTGAGTGTCCGAGACAGCTCTCCCCAGCCGCACGCACTGACTCCGGTCTGTCAGGAAGTCTGTGATCCACCTGCAGGTGGAGTCAGGTACATGGAGCAGGGAGAGCTTGTCTTGGAGCAGAGCAGGGAGGATGGTGTTAAATGCAGAGCTGAAGTCCACGAACAGGATCCTGTCGTAGGTTCCTGGGGAGTCCAGGTGCTGCAGGATGAAGTGAAGAGCCAGGTTTATTGTATCATCTACAGACCTGTTGGCCCTGTAGGGGAACTGCAGGGGGTCCAGGAGGGGGTTGGTGATGGACTTGAGGTGAGATGAAACCAAGCGTTCAAAGGTTTTCATGACTACAGACGTGAGAGCTACAGGTCTGTAGTCATTTGGTCATGTGACACGTGGCTTCTTGGGGACAGGGACGATGATGGAGGACTTGAAACAGGCTGGGACGTGGCAAGACTCCAGTGAAGAGTTGAAGACCCCTGTGAAGACCGAAGCCAACTCTCCAGCACAATGTCTCAGCGTGGAGGGTGACACAAGATCTGGGCCTGCAGCCTTATGTGTGTTCAGCCTTTTAAAAAGCCTCCTTACTTCATCCTCTTGTACAGAGAATGTCGCGCTTCCTCTCTGTGTTCCTGTAAAAAGCACAGCACGGCTAAATGAGCTCTGAACCGTGGTGTGTTTCAGGGAAGGAGACAGGTCTGTCGGAGCTGGTAGCTTCGCACACGCTCAGCTTCTGTGTTTACTGCTGCTAAAAGTCTCCTCTCCTGCCCGCCCACCTCCTGGAGAAGCAGGAAGGGGAGGGGGAGCGTGGCTGAGGGCTGTGTGTTCGAGGAGGTAGAAGGAGGGGGGCGACTGGGAGAAAGAAGATGGCAGGAGTTCCAAGTATAAAACTATATCATTTAGTATGGAGATACATCAACTTATATCGCAAAAAATAATTTTATCTCGATATTTAAAATATATCGAGATATCGCTCAGCCCTACTAACATGCATGTTTTGGTCTGTGGGAGGAAACTGGGAGTACTCAGAGAAAACCCACACAGCAGAGAGAACATGCAAACTTCATCCAGAAAGCCCCCCCCCAGCCTCGTCTGACCCTAGAGCAGTTTTCCCACTCTGCCAAAAGTCCACTGTACAGGGCCCTGGGCCCGAGGAAAACAGCAGTGTTTCTGGATAGTGTTTGCATATGGCTTCCTATTTACCAGTACATAATAGAGCTTTAAGCAACATCTGTGGATGGCACAGTGAACTAAGACTAAGTGTTTGAGTCCATGCAGTGATGTCCAGAACAGAATCAGACTCGTTTATAATGTGTCCCCTGAGGTCTCAAAGATCTCGACCATCCAAGCCTTGTCCTTAGAGCGCAAAGATTTCTACATATTGTTCAAACCTTTCAATGACATTATGAAATGTAGATGATGGGCTATATAATGTCTTCACAAATTAATTTTTTTTTGATTATTCTGAAATTAGTTGAAGAGGATTAGGGCCACGGTACAATAAATATTTTCCCTTAATTCAAGTAAAGTCAGAATTCTGAGATTAAAGTCAGAATTCATCTATTTAATTCTGACTTTTATCTCAAAATTAAAGAAAAAATAATATTTGCACTGTGGCCCTAACCCTCTTCTGTAATTATGTTTGCCAATTTTTGGTAGACTGGTGAACCTCTACCCATCTTTACTTTTGATAGATTCAGTCTATATAACATGCTTTTTTATACCCAATCCTCTAACTGACCTGTTGCCAATTAACATAATTGTAAAAATATCCTCCAGCTGTTTCTTATTTGTAAAACTTTGCTGAAATGGACTGCTGCAAATTCAATTTAAATCAAATTCAAAATGACTTAATTTTCCCCCCAAATGGTGCAATGTCTTGGTTTAAACATTTGATGTTTATTGTTGTTCAAATATGGGCTTATAAAATGTTCACTTCATTCCATTCTGCTTTTACCTTTATATATATTGTACATTAAACCAGAAATCATCAGCATCTAATACTGGTTTACTTTCTTCCAAAAATGTAGTGGAAAAAATGAAAGAAACCCTTGAAACAAACCTTAAACTTCCTCATGGACTGGTAGAGTCTTCCCAGGTTGCCATAGTGTTTGGCTGTTTGTACATTGAACTCTCCAAAAGCCTTCTTGGCCAGCTGCAGTGAAGAGAGGTGCAGGTCATGAGCTTCCTGCAGGAGGCGCTCTTCTGTCTCTTTATTGTGGCAGTCGATGGCTATTTCCTCCAGGATCAGAGCTGACAGAACCCAAGAAAGAACATGGATTTAAAGTTAGAGCTGCGCTTGTTTTAAACGCTACTTCTATAATGCCCTTTTGGATCATTCTTCTGTTGTGGACTGAATGTTTTGAGACATTTTGTAACATGACCTTCACAGAATGGGCAGCAGACCAGCAAACTCATAAACCATCTCTTACCTTTAACTCTCTTGGAGGAAGCCAGGAGAAGATGGTCCTCTGGCAAAATGTGAGTAATGATGTCGATGGCACGTTCTGCATGGAATCTGGGCAACAAACAAGTCATGCAACTTAGACTCGGCTAGAAATTCAAATAAATCCAAGACACACCTATCCAAGAATATCAAATGTTTAGTTTTTTTAAGCTATTTCAAACTTGAACAAATCAAAATCAATCAGCAAGATAGAGGTGTAGATGAACATATGCTGTGATATATTCATAGATTAAACGGATTATTTCATTTTTCTGGACTGGATAATATCGTGCATTGAATAATTAAAAATGTAACGTGAGACGTTAATTATCTTTGACCCATCAAAATGAACGTGGTCATTTATTTTCAGAATCAAAATTTTAACATCATACATTTACATTAATTGGCAAATTGAAAAATAACAACATGGCTAATTTAGCAAGTTTTACAAGGAGTAAACAATACGGCGATTGTTTTCTCACTTCCAGCAGTACAACAGACATTAACCATACGGCGATGGTTGAAAAACTTCACAACAGACATTTCTAAAAATATCTGGATTAATTTGCTAGCAGATAGAAGAGTTTAAAGATTGAAGTTTAGAGGGAGGGAGATGGTGTGTGTGTGTGTGTGTGTGTGTGAGTGAAAAGTGTTGAACAGAACGGCACCCTCCATTCGACCCAGCTTTCCTCGGTACGCTCGGTAGTGAACTCGACTCATTACCTCTCTGACGATGAATCAGTGGAAGCGGAGCTCCAGTTAAGCTACCGGTCCAGCGTCTCCGTAGGATGGCAGAGAACCGTCCGGAGTGGTGGCGGGACTTCATCAACATCAGTTCACCTCACGGTGGACTCACATGAGTGGAGTCCTTCAGAAGTTCCACTCAGAGGTGGAAGATGTCATAATCCCAAAAGACTCGGAAGAGTTCTGGATTATGCTGGACTTCTGTTCTCCCAAACGACTGGAGCTGCAAACTCTCCACCCGACTCCAACTGGGTTGAACTAGGAAGTACCGACATTTAAAGAGCTCTATTTCCGGTTCACTTGGGAGTTTCTGATTGGTCGATGGACCAAAACAGAGGTGTGTTTTGTGATGTAAGGTGTTATGAAAAGTCAAGGAAAAAGATTAAGATTGTTTAAGAACAGACAAAAGATATTATGAAGAACTCAGACTTCGTGGAGTCAATTTTCTAGTATCTTCCTGTAAAAGTTAAACATGACATTTCTTTTTCAGTAAACTTGCAGTTGACCGAAACTTGAACTTTGACCAACTTACACAACTTGCTCATTTCAAACAGACGATCAAGAAATTGAATCATTACTCTGTAACATATTCCAACTTGATTTCCACTTTGAATGAGGATTAAAAATCGTTATTACCGTTTCACAGTTGATTTAAAAATGAGTAGTTCACTTCAACATTTAAACATTGTTTGAACTAACACAATTTGATTATCAAACATTTGTAAAATAGTAATGATAATCGAAAGTAGTCTTCTTTCACTTGATTAATTCAAGAAAGAAAGTCTCAGGATGGGTAAACCTGTATTTCTGGATTCAAATCAATGAAATGACAGTTTCTGTCCCATAAGGTCCTTAAGGTCAAGATTTGACCTCAGGCCTAGTTCACTACAGAGGTCACAGTAATGGCCAGAACTGAGAAGAGGATGACAAAACTGCAATATCTCTCCTTGCAGCCTCTGGATTGTTCTAAAGCCAAATCTCTCAAAAATACTGTAACAGTATTTTTTTTTTTTACTTATTGTCTACTTCTTTGAACACCACTTTGGGGGGATGTGGTAGCTTAGTGATCAGTGCTATAATCTTGAAACCCTGAGGTTGCGGGTTCTAGCCCAGATTGCATCAGGAAGGGCATTCAGGGTAAAACAAAAGCCTTAATCTGGTGACTACGGATGAGAAAAGAAGCTGAAAGAAACTACCTGTACTAGTTGCAAACCACTAAAACTAAACATGGTTGAAGTTATAAAAAATAAAAATAAAATTAAATATATATATATATATATATATATATATATATATATATATATATAGGGCTGGACAATACAGCCAAAACTTTTATCACGATATATCTCTTAATTTCGGTCGATAACGATATAATGCGATATCGATATAAACAATATAAAAGCCTCAGAAAAACTACAAAACTATACAAAGAAATTAATGTTCACCTTTTATTTGTATTTAGCCTTCAAAAAAATTAAATCACTGTCAAACATAAAATTCTCAACTTCGTCAATATTAATAGTTTTGACTTTAAACAACAACTTTAAAATTGACAGCATTGAAATTCGTTGTTAATGAAATAAACTTTTTGGGTGTCGTTATTGATGAGAAGCTGACGTGGAAATCTCATGTAAAATACTTAGGAATAAAAATAATCAGTTGCATTACTGTATAAAGTAAAAGAGTTTTTGAATGACAAAGCTTTGTGTATATTGTATAATGTAATGATTGTTCCATATTGAATATATTGTAATGAAGTTTGGGGAAAAGCATGCAAAACAATTACAAACCCTATTTTTATTTTACAACAAAGAGCTATAAGAATTATTAGCATTATGAAGTGCTATGGGCACCCAACAAATATATTATTTCATCAATTGAAATTATTAAAATGTTATGATTTGGTTGAATATAGTATTTTACAAGTCATGTATAAAGCTCATAAAAAATATTAGCCCCAAATATTCAATTAAAATTAGTAAAAAATAAATATAAAAAAAGGAGAGTCAATATAACTTAAGGGAATGTAAATGTTGGTAAAACCTCCATTTAGAACTAGTGTGAAGGAGCTGTGTTGTAGTTCAGGGAACAGGATTATGAATTGTCTTGATATCACCATAAACATTTCTAAAACAATTTATATGTTTAAAAAGATGTTAAAGTTGTTAGGAAAGTATAGTACCACGTGAAGGATACCTGAAGTTTTGTTGTTTTCAGTTTGGAGATCGTTCAAGTCAAGGTTGTTGTTTGTTTCTAGTTATTTTGTATTTTTTTAAATTAGAGGCAGATAAGAATTATTTTCATCTTTCTTCAATCTTTTCATTCAATGATTTTTTTCTTTCTGATGAATTTCTTTTATTTTAAATGAATGAATTAATGATAAAAACAAACAACAAACATAACATGCAGCACTGGGGGTGTTTCAGGGACACATTGGCTCAAACTTTTATTGTGCTTCATCTTGTGACTCATCATCTTCTGTCAAGTGGAACAAATTAAATGTTCCAACTGCTAGTTAGAACGACACTCCGTCACATTTTGCAGCACACTGACTGAAACCTGCAGTTTACTGAATCTTAAAAGCCGAACCACTTTCAAACCAGCAAATTAGTCATTTCTCTCTTATCGGTGATGTCATCTGCTTCTCTTCGCTTGTGAAAGTTGTTCAGTCACATTCTGACGATCATGGGCACTCATTTTGAAGTGAAAACTTAACGCACATTGGAGATTAGCCTAGCTTAGCCTGCTACCACTTAACGCCTTCTGGACTTGAGCTCTGCGTAACATTACGTCACCACGCACACGTAGTTGTGTCGCAGCTTTTTCTGTCCGGGTTGAAACTGAAGTGTCCGCTTCAACCCGAACAGAAAACGCTGTAATCCTATCGAAATATCGAAAATGTGCTTAAAATTCATATCATCGTTATTGAACAAAAGTATATCGCGAGATATATCAATATCGAATTATTGTCCAGCTCTAAGTTGGACCAACAACATTTTGCACAAGGTTGAAAGATCGTATCAGATTTAGAAACTCCTGCACCAAAGGCTTGTCAGGATAGCAAACATGTACATTAAAGTCTCCCAGAATCAAGACCCTGTCATAATTGAGCAGTATTCCAGTCAGAAAGTCAGAAAATTCACTTTCATGAAGTTTTTGTTGTATGAGGGTGGTCTGTAGATCAGGCTGCACAGTGTTGGGTTGGAGCGGCCAAGCTCAAAATACAGCAGTTCAAAACTCTGAAATGCTACAGCCTGTAGCTGTCTGCAGTTCCAGAGCTTTTTAAAAACTGTTAATCCACCACCCCTACCAGAAGTTCTTGGAGCATTAAAATAGGCACAATCCACCGGCAAAAGTTCAGAAAAAACACTTAACTCACCAGGTATGAGCCAGGTCTCTGTAACAAACATGAAGTCCAGTCCATTGGAGCAGAAAAAGTCGTTTTAGGTCAAGGTTTTATTTGCCAGCCACCTCACATTCAGCAGAGCAATCTTTTTAGGACCAGTAGGGGAAGGAAAAGCTGTGCTCCGAGCACAGATCAGTTGTTTCAGATTTTTGGAGTTTGAACCGCGCCTCCATGGACCAGACACGCCTCAGCTGTGCGCGCGCCCACAGCGCGGGCCAGGCTCAACTATGGGGATCAGACAGGACCCAGCAGGATCAGTGACGCACCCGGACAGGCGAATATCCAGCAGATGGTCGGCAGGAGATGATGCAGCAGACAGTCCGGAGTTGGTTAAGTTCCACTGGAGACGACCAAAACCGCCGCGGGCGCTCGCCCGCTGCACGTATCAAGCCTGGCCACCTGAAGCAGGCTGGAGTTGATTGGGTCAGCGAAGCATCCGGATGGACAGTTTAACGTCTGATGCTCAGCAGCAGAGAGCTTGATGCTGGCTTTAATCCTCACGAGACGGCCGGCACGTCTTCCACGGCACCTGGAGCCATGTTTTCAGGCGGGCAGAAATGCTGCTCGCTTCAGGTAAACAGGGACATCAACAAGCAGAGGGGATGGGGGTCCAGAGCCCCGATCAAAGTGGTCAAACAAGGTGGGGTCTGCAGTAGATAACTGTATATTTAAAAGTTGTTGGCGATCATAAACGAGCAGTGAGTTGATGTCACCGAAGAAAAATTACAAAAACAGAAAAAAAAAGATCAAAACAGACAGAGGTGAACGGCAAGCCACCAGCACTGCTGCCATCTTCCCGGAAAAGAGAGCACATTACACCAGTTTTGCCCTCACTGCAGTGGCTACCGGTTCACCTTTGAATCCAGTTCAAAATACTCCAGTATGTCTACAAATCACTGAACAGCTTCGCCCCCCCACCCCACCCCATCTCTCTGATCTGCTACAACCGTATGTCCCACCACGCTCCCTGAGGTCAGCGGACCAGTTGCTCCTCACAGTTCCAGGAACTCGTCTTAAGAGCAGAGGTGACAGGGCCTTCTCTGTAGCAGGACCAAGACTTTGGAACGAGTTACCTCTGCTTGTCAGAAAGGCCCCCTCCCTCTCGGTTTTCAAGTCCCGTTTAAAAACTCACTACTATTCAGTAGCTTTCAACACCAGAGGATCTGTGTTTGATCCTGTATGCTCCACACTGGTTTGTCGTCATTATCTGCATCGTTTTTATGTCTATATTCTGATTTACCTCATTTTGTATTTTGCTTTGTGTGTTACCTGTTGTTCTGTCTGTACAGCACTTTGGTTGGCCTTGTTGCTGTTTTAAGTGCTCTATAAATAAAATGGTATGGTATATATGAGCGAGAGAGAGACAGAAAAAGACAGAGACAGAGATGGATAGATACAGAGAGAGAGGCAGAGAGAGAAATAGAGAGACAGAGACAAAGAGAGAGAGAGAGAAATGGAGAGAGAGAGAGAGACAGAAAGAGACAGAGAGAGAGAGACAGAGAGAGCTGTTGACATACACTCACCTGTCACTTTATTAGGTATACTAGTTCAGTTGTTAACACACAAACATCTAATCAGTCAATCACAACAATTCAAGGCCTTAAGATATGTAAATGTGGAAAAGACGCCTTGCTGAAGTTCAAACAGCATCAGGATTTGGACAAACGGGAATTTAATCGACTTTGAACATGGTGTGATTGTTTGTGTTAGACGGGCTGGTCTATGTATAGGGTTGGGCATAGTTAACTTGAACGATTCCAGTTCCAATTCTTCGTTTCGATTCTGGTTCCTGTCGATTTCCGATTGCGTTTCTTTTTAGAGGCATGGTTTAAAAAAAAGACATGTCAATTCATTTCAGTTTATTTATACTGTATAGCGCCAAGTCACAACAGAAGTCGTCTCAGGGCACTGAACAGAAACATTCATATACAAAAATAGTAGGGGTGCACCGATATATCGGCCAGCCAATTTATCGGCCCTGATTTCCTTAATTTGGGGAGATCGAAAATCGTCCAATACTTGCATGAGAAACCGATTTTATTGGGTTTTTTTTTGTTTGTTTTAACAATTGTCTAACCTTCATTTATATTTCAGAGCACTACCTCATGACCAGTTAAAACAAGTTTGTATTGTTTCTAGGATATTGTTCAAGGGTATGTTTTTCAACAAAATATTAATAGAAAATTGAAGCTGTGTTGTGACCTTATAACCTCTGACAGTATCGCTTATAAAACAAAATCGCTATCGGCAGATCAGACTTTTTAGAAATCGGTGATCGGCCAGAAAACTGCAATCGGTGCGCCCCTAAAAAATAAGTTAACAGAAACTTTCATATACAAATAATAAGTTAACACTATTTATCTGAGGAGCAGACTGTTTTGAATTTAACTTCATCATGTTATAAATGAGCTACAGTAGTTAGCCAGAGTTCTTTCTGGATGAAATAATTTGAACTTCTATTTGAATTTGAATTCTATGAACTTTTGTTAAATTTAGTATGAATTTCTCACAGGGTTATTTTCAACCAGTATATAAATATCAAACTTATGAACTTCAAGATGTTCTGAATTTCTTTTCACAGGGGTACACTTTCACAAGAGTTTTATGTTTGAAAACCTCATGGGAACATTTCCTCATGTCCAGTGTGTGATGCTGCAGCCATGTTACTGAGCTCCCACTGATGGACTAACCTGCTGCAGAATATCAAACTAAGTTATTATTGCCCAGTCCAGATTAGCAGCAGGTACAGTATAAAATCAGAAATGGTTCTTGTTGAGGAAAATGACCAGATCTGCTTCTCAGGCAGAATGTGTGAGCGTTCTGGACAGACAGTGTCTCCTGCAGTGGAGAACATGTCTGAAGGTGCAGAAGAAGCTTGAACACATAAATATGAGAAATCAAGATCTGACAGCAAAGGATAATTCTTGTGTTGGTTCCACCACCAGCAGCAGGTTCTCAGACAGAACGTCTGGTGGAATGTCCTGGTCCATCTGCAGCTCTCTCCACTTGTTTCTTCATGGACATGGAGCTGTGACATTATGTTCTGTGCCTCTTCCTCAGCAAAAAGCTCCTCCAGTGGAGACTTTTTAGACAAGACTGCAGGGAGGTGGCTCCTAAACAAACAACAGGTTCATCAGTATTATCAGTAAAAAGGGATTATTAAAGGCATGATCATTATTAAGATTGAGAATCTATATAATTTCAGCTATCATACACTTACACTCTCCTCCTCATCCTCCACTCCCTCATTCTCAGGCCTTTCCTCAGACTGCATGGTGACCCCATCATCTCCACAGTCTTCCTCTGTTGACCACAAAGAACATTACTAGTATTTAGATTTCAGATTTTAAAGCAGAAAAGGACAGTTGTGAATGACATTTCACCTGGATCTGCTCCCAGACACATCATCCATCTTCTGTTTAAAGCGCAGAGCAGCTCTTCTCCACCTTATACCAAGATGATTCACTTATTTGACAAGTGGTCCATGGTAGGTGGTGTGTACTTGGGTTGATGGTTTTCATCATGTCCCTGCAAAAGTTTTAACATGTAATGTCACGGTTACTGTAACGTTAGCTTAGGATGGACTATTAATTAGCTTAGCTCGATTGTTGCTGCCTAACTAACCTAAATGTTGGTGATTCCACATCTGAAAAGGGATGCAACCTTTTCACAATATGTGCTGTAACCGTTCTGTGGCACTCTTCATTCAATTAGTTGCACCAACGTCTTTTCCTTGGATGCGATGGTGAACGGAGGAGCACATTGAGAAGTCTGGCTAACATTATTAGCCATTTCAAGTCGTTTGTCTAAGAAAAAAATACGAGCTAACGTTAGCATGGTGTTTGCATTTGAGTTGGCCTACCGCTTTAAGTCGAGTATAACTTGTTAGCCGCCTTAATGTTGGTATAAGATGTAGTTTATAGTTTTATTTACCTGATGGAGCTGGAGAAGGAGGCAGCGAAAACAGTCCGGCAGAGCGCTTCAAAGACGGACCACACTTTTACTTCTACGCCCTCCTTTGCACAATATAAAATTATTGCAAATGCTGTACTGAGCTGACTGGTCATTTTATTAAAGTTAAGCCACACTTCCGATCGTGGCCGCTCACTCTCCATGTATGCGAACACTTCCAGTGGATTCTTCTTCATTGGTTTTCAGCGGGCGGCTTCTTCTTCGTTGGTGTTGGGCGGGCAGCTTCTACTTCCAGTTGGCGGACTAGGCATCGAAAGTAGGAATCGAAAATAAATATTTCAAATGATTCCGGGAAAACCGGACAGTTAGTCTCGGTTCCAGTCGATTCTCGATCCTCGATGCCCAACCCTATCTATGTATTGAATAAATTGCTGATCTACTGGGATTAATTTACACACAACCACCTCTTATTCATTTACACAGGTTGCATGGCTAGTTAAACATTTTGTTGTGCAAAGTTACATCTCTGACTCTTGCAAAAAACACATGCTAAAGTGTGTACATTAGAACCAGTAGAAGAGCACTGAGGATGAGTCACTGTCATGCATCATCCAAAAATTAAAAAGAAGAGAAGAAGCTACATCATTACCAAGGCACTGTGAATTTTTAAGATTTATTGTACTCACAGAGCATTGTCAAATTTCCCAGAGCTATACTGGTGGACATACGAGGAGTATGCCAAATCTTCATGAGCAGTGGCAACGTGGATGTTCTTTCCTCCAAACACAGACTGTCGGATGTCCAGGGCCGTCTACATTATGTACAAAACAATTGAATAAGATGTCTAAAGAAATTTACCAAATAGAAAAAGAGTAGGGAATAGTCTTCTTAAGCTTACCTGGTAAATAGCAACTGATTGACATATATTGTCTACATTTAATAAGTAAAAACCATAATCCAGTAGTGTGTCAGAATACTTTGGATGTTTGAGTCCAAAATGTTCTCTGTAAGGAACAAAACAAAGTCACAATGTATAACTACAAGAATGTTTTATTTTGCTGTAGTTGCTTTATGAGACACAGTAGAATACCTTGCTAAAAACACAGCGTGTTTGATCAGCTGCTCTGCTTTTCTGAACTCTCTTTTCACCACACAAGCCTACAGAGAGGAGATAGAATTACATTAAAATTTTTCCTAAAATTTCTATCCATCCATCCATTAGCTTAGTTTGTTTTGAAGTTGGGTCTTGAGGGCAGCAGCTTGAGCAGGGAGGCCCAGACATCTCTTTCCACAGCCACCTCTTCCAGAAGAACCGCAAAGCGTTCCAAGGCCAACCAAGAGACCTACGCCCCTTTTGCACTGCCCCTAATCAGCCCCAACTCTGCTCAGCCCTGCACACCCCTGCTCAGCCTGGCTCAGCTCAGACTGGACTTGCACCTGCACTTTAGGACCGATTCTGGAGGCGTGTCCAGAATCCAAGTCCTGCTAATGAGAGTTCTGCGATGAGTTACTCAAAAGCAGTCTGCTCTTCAGATAAATAATATTAAATTATTATTTTTATATATAAATGTTTCTGTTAACTTATTTTATATATGAATATTTCTGTTCAGTGTCCTGACACGACTTCTGTTGTGACTTGGCACTGTATAAACTGAACTGAATTAAATCTGATGAACCAGATTCTACAAAAAACATTTATATTTAAATCTAAAAAAGTTAAGTCTGGTCCTCTGGACGTTCAAAAACAAACAAAGAAAAAAGTAGAAATGTTTCTTCTTTCATCCGAAGGACTTCTTCAGTCTGAGGAGCTGTATTCAGCTCATAGGTATTTATATAAGACTGAGCTGAATAAGCTCCTCAGACTGAAGAAGTCTTTTGGATGAAAGAAGAAACATTTCTACTTTTTTGTTTGTTTGTTTGTGAATGTCCAGAGGACCAGACTTAACTTTTTTAGATTTTTCTACCTGGATTATTGAGCATGCATCAGGATATCTACATTTAAAATTCTATATTTTTATTCATCATTTGATGTATTTGCTCTCATTGTAGTTTTGTTTCTTGTATACAGATTATTTTTTCTTGTATACAGATAATTTTTAGCTTTGAATTAAAGTTTATCTTTGAGTTAAAGCTTTAATTTAAAGTGTAATCTTGTTTAGTGATTTGTTCGTCTGTGTGTTAGAATAAAGTTGAACCAAAGGCTGTGTCTCTTCTTTAAACATGTTGGAGGGAAATATGAGAGATCCAATATTTTTTTTTTTTTAATAATTTTTCAGTTGAATTAACTTTAATTTATAGATTATTTAATAAAGTCAAAGGGAAAACAGGATTTCACGATAAAGCCGGCAACGTTTATTTATTTTTAATCTTCACTGATAAAAAAAACACCTTATATTTTATACATAAAATGTATATACACCAACAGAGTGGTGTAGTGTATGTGGTCCAGTGCAGCGAGGACTGTCCAGACCTCTACATTGGAGAAACTAAACAGCCTCTTCACAGACGCATGACTCAACACAGGAGATCCACCTCCTCTGGACAAGACTCAGCTGTTCACCTCCATCTCACAGAGAAGGGACACTCTTTGAGGACCAACATGTGCACATTTTGGACCGAGAACACAGATGGTTTGAGAGGGGGGTG